TTTCCTCTGGGGAGAGTTCCTTCATTTAGATCTATGGAGGGACACTTCCTGCCTCCTCTTCACCTTGTATGTCCCGGGGTGGGGGCAGGGGGTGTGCTGTCACTGGAAAGGCAGAAAAATCTCATGCCAGCTCTGCCATCCTTTTTACTTAGTTTTAGAAAACAGACAGGAGGGAAGTGGGGGGGGGGGGGGGGTGTTGGGGACAGGACAGGATCAATAGAACTGATGGATGGATCTTCAGGAGGGACTCGGGGAGTTGAAGTAATAAGAACTCGAGGACGGGGGTTCTTTTTCCTCCCTGATGGAGCTGCTGGATCAGCTCAGTGAGACTCACTGATGATGATGATGATGATGACTAGTAACCATGACCAGCAACTAAAGCTTTAGAGAAACGTAGTGCAGTAAAAAAGTAGGATTTTATTGTTAAAATATAGTGGAGTGAAAAAGTACAAAATCTCAAAAACTGTACTTAAGTACAGTACTCAAGTAAATTTACTTCATTACTGCCCACCTCTGTCTGCAGGTACTAGAAACTGAAAATAAGTGTAGCAACAGCAATACGCACATACTCACACAAAATGCATGTTCCTTACAAATGTGGCACCATTTAAAAGGGAACAATGGAAGCTAAGAGCGGATGTTTTCTGCRTATAATTTATTATGCATAAATATGTTGTTATCGTGAGACAACCATGGTTTTCTCGAGAAAACGACATATTTATGTTGATATCACGAAATAACGTTGACCATATTCTCGAGATAACGAGTTATGTTTAATTTCCCRATGGTTTTCTTGAGATAATAACTTTTATGTCAATATTGACATAAATATAACAGTGACTATTTTCTTGAGATAAGGAGTTAGTTTCCCTATGGTTAACGCAATAAGTTTATTTCCCGATGGCTTTCTTGAGATAACGACATATTTGTCAAATTTAAAAAAGAATGGCGACCATCTTCTCGAGATGACGAGTAAATTTCCTTATGTTATCTCAATAAGTTAATTTCCCGATGGTTTTCTCAAGATAATAACATGTCGATATTGACATAAATATAACAGTAACTATTTTCTTGAGATAAGGAGTTAATTTCCCTATGGTTATTGCGATAAGTTAATTTCCCGATGGCTTTTTAGAGATAACGACATGTTTATGTCAATCACAAAATAACAGCGACCATCTTCTCGAGATAACGAGTAAATTTCCCTATGGTATCTCAACAAGTTAATTTCCCTATGGTTTTCTCAAGATAATAACATTTATGTCGATATTGACATAAATATAACAGTAACTATTTTCTTGAGATGAGTTAATTTCCCTATGGTTATCGCGATAAGTTAATTTCCCGATGGCTTTCTAGAGATAACGACAAATTTATGTCGATATCACAAAATAACGGTGACCATTTTCTTGAGATAACGAGTTAATTTTCCGATGTTTATCTCGATAAGTTAATTTTCTGATGGTTTTCTCAAGATAACATATTTATATAGATATCACGAAATAACAGTGACCTGTTTTTTTCAAGATAACTACACAATTAAGTTATTATCTCGAAAAAACCATGTGAAAAATTTTGGAGGGAAAATGTTCGCTCTGGGTTTCCGTAGGGAACTTCCCGTCAGTATAAAGATTTATTACCAAGAATCCTTCTTACAACATTGAAACAATCCACTAAACATGACTTTCCTTACATTTTGTGCTAAGTTTATGATTTTCATCAATAAAGACCTACTGATTCTCTGTTTAAAGTAAATTATTACAATCAGTCACAAAGTATAAAATATAAATGCATTACGTAATCTATTAAATAATATCTTTCACAACATCTACACCCTGATATATTCTGCAAATATAATCCCACATCTGGTCATGGAGAGGAAAGAACCTGAATACCAGCCCAAAAACATGAGGTCATGACCTCAGTTTGAGGTTCAGTTTTTGTTTGAACACTTTTAAACACTAATCGTATAAACGGAGCAATCAGTTCTACTTTCTCCAAAACGCTCTTGTAGTTGAAGCGTATGATTTCCACATGAATGAAACAGGAAATGGAGCTAAAAACCGACTGCATCAGAGGCATTGTCTTGTGGAAAGGAGCTGAGATTACAAGGCTTTAACTCCTGGGTGCTTCTTTATTAAAACAGTCGAGATGCTGCGCAGCTTATTGGAGCCAAAAACCTCTTTAATGACTTTTTATCATTACATTAACATTACGCAACTTTCTGCCGTCCCACAGGGCGCCGTTTTAATTTGTGGTTTGAGGATAGACCCTACAATTATCAGATAACTGAAGAATCTATTTTTAAAACGTCTTTGTTTCTGGTTTTATGTTTAGGAAGACATACTTTCATGTGATTTATTTTAAACGTTTGCTTTGATCATTTGATTTATTTAACAGACTAAATATGAATACTTGAAACCACCACGGTGACACGTTCAGGTTCACTCTAAACTAAATCTTTTCTCAGGAGAACAAACTTCAGAGTCGCTCACATTTTAAAATAAAAAAGTGTTTGTTTCAAGGGAAATTTCAGAAGATCTGAAGACAAAAATACATTCTTTTTGTAAAGCACCAGAGGAAAATCTTGGATTGTTTTGGAGAATTTGTCGACGTACCCGTGAGACGACTTAAAAAAAAAACAAAATCCTGATCAGAGACCAAAATAAACTGATTTACTTTCATTCAGTCCTTTTTACAAAAGGTTTTTCTTCCCTTTTCAGGCACTTCCTTCATTATCGTTGCTTTTCTTCCTCTCTCTGAAGGCAGGTACGCCTGCTCACGGGTGAATGGGTTCTGAAAAGGAAAGGAAATAAAAGCCTGACAGTTTAATGCGATCAACACGTTTTGTGTCAAACCTTTAAACCCCRACTGGAGTCAGGACACAGTATGAGCGGATTAAATGGAAATAATCATAAGATTCGAATCAAGATGGCCGCCACAGCCAGATGACCTTAGAAAAATACAAAGAGGGCGATAGTTCATTAGTTTTACATACAATGTGCTAAAATGTCGTTTGTAGCTGGAAGTCGTTCACAACATAAGATGTTTGCATAAAATTTCATCAAATTAATCGTGTTTTGAGTAGGGGTGTAAGAAAATATCGATACACTGAAATATCGCGATATTTCATTTCCCGATACTGTATCGATATTCTAAAGCCCCGTATCGATTTTTTTATTAAGGTTTAAAATGTCAACTTTCCTGCCAGCCGTTCATTGT